AAAACAAACATAAATTGAATATACATATGGTATAAAAACATGTTTTAGAATTTAAAACAAAATAGACCCATTAGATAAAACAATCAACATTAATAATAAAACCGTGGTTCCTTCCTAAGAAACACAAAATGTTTTTACATTTTCTTCACTTTGGATTACAGGGTAAGATAACAGAAATATAAATGCATAAAGATTGAAAGACAGAGGTAGGTAACACTTAAAATTTTCATAGATGATATAATCAAACATTGTAAAATAATTCTCAAAATCTAGAGAAGGATTAAAGATTTATATGTTCTAAAATAAACATGAAAATATCAGTCAAAATCGACTGAGTTAATATATGTAATCATATGGCTTCTAAAACGTATATGATAAAGTAACTGGAAATGGCACACCTGAGGAAAATGAATATGTTGGAGGAGTTTTCTCTACCATGAATCAAGACAAGGATGTGATATGATAATTGATGTGATGTGGTGATGTATGATATGATATAGATGTGAGGGAAGGTGGTATTGACACAGAGAGAAGAGAGAGAGGGAGGAGACTGGTAGAGAAGAATGAATAGCTCATAAACCCAAACACCTCCCTGCCCACCTGATAATGACTAAGGTAAAGATTTGTGACTATAGAAAGAATCATCTCCTTAGTAAATGAGGCTGGAAAAAGTTATCAATGAGTATAATTTTAGTGTGTTGTCAACCTTCACTTTCCCATTTATTTCCTAAAATCCTTAAGTTTGCTGTTCTCTCTTTACTACTGTCTAGCTTCCTTTCATTTATTTTTTTTTTCTTGTTCATTTAAGTTCTTGTTTTTCACTGTGGTAGAATTTGAGAAGTAACTGTAGGCAAGTAGTGTGCTTATTTATCAATATTTAAATAGATGTAAACTGATTATATACTGCATGAAAAGATAAATGTGTTGCTTTTAAAAACAACCATGTCAAGGGAGTTTCTATGTTCCTCACAAACTTCACATTGGAACAAGCAAGCCACTTTATACCCTCACTAAATAGTGGTCAAACGCTAAGGTTTTAGAGAGTGTGTTGAAAAGAAAGCTTCATGATCCTTTTAATATTTATCTCCATCTTAAAACCAACAACATTGTATTATTTCTGTTGAGAAGCTCTGCCCAGAAATTGGACATAGTAGTGCTTCTGTGTGTACATATGGCTAAAACAAGCAAATTCTGTCAATATTTGCACCTTAGCTTTATTTGAGCATTAAAGGGCCTTATGCTCATAATACATGGTGTTGAAAATATGAAAAGTGATCATTACTGTTTTTATAGAGATTTTTCTCAAGACGTCTATTTCCTCCAGTTCCAGAACCCCACTTACTATGCTTCATTAATATTCATTTAATAGAGTGTTTTTGCACTTTCGGTTCAGTAAAAGCATGATGATGGAGGACAGCAGAATCCTCAGCCTTCAACAGTGATTACTGGGAGTGCATCCTGGCCCAGGGGCATGGTTGCCATGGTGACGCTACTGATCTGCCAAGGCTGTTTCTCACTGTGGGTGGAAAGAAGCTCCCCTGCCAGCAACTATGTGGGATTCTGGCAGCTGGAGAGAATGCTGAAATGATGTGTTGCTTCTCCATATGCAAGTTCAAAGAGACTTCTTTAAATGCAGTAGGCAACTCCACTTAGACTCATAGGAAGAATGGGTTTGATTAGGATCTATTCCGTTACAAGTTCAATATGTTCCCAATGAGACACTTGAGAATTTTAAGTTGAACAAAAGTTTTTCAGAGGGTCAAAATTTAAGTTAAACGCAGAAATGAAAGCTTACAGTAAATTGTATTTGTCAACAAAGGTAACATAATTCTGAATAATTAATATGGCAGTGTTTAAATGGGGAGTGGGGATATATTTCAGTGTCTTTTGGATGCTGAACTAATGTGGTAACGTATATTAACTCACAGTCATGAAGCTTAGTTTCCTCTAGTAATATAATTGATCTTATATGTTTCTACATTTGAAGGTTGCTAGTAAGTTAAATTTTCAATTATGTTCTGGTCTATGAGCACATGAATTTCTCTTGGGGAGATAGAATCTGGCACAGAAGCTAATGTTGGCCATATACAACAGTAGGGAAAACATGAACTAAGTACAAACTAGTTCTATATTAGGAATAAAATTAACCAGAAGTCCTAAGAGACATTTTGGTAATGATTTTTATGTTTTTATTTTATCTGATCTTAATTTACTCTGAATTCTGATTTTATTTACCTGCACATTCTATGCTCTAGGATAAAGCAAAGGTTATGGCATTCAGTATTCATAATCTTCTCTGTGTGTTTGAACTTGGAAGCAGATGATTGGCTTGAGCAGGAGCATTGGGTTTGACATTTCAGAGAGTCTGAGTAACATCCTTCCAAGGCTGTATCAAGTGTTTTGAGAATAGGAATGGGAAAGAACCACAAAACTGGGTCTTGAAGTCATTTGGGCCATTAGGAGGTTCTTCCTTTTTTTTTTTTCTTCTAATATTACTTGTTTTCACCTTTCATTTTAAGCAATTACTGGGATGATATTTACAGAATATTAAAAGAGAATATTCTAATTTTCTTTTCTGCCACCCTGTTAGTCTCTACCCAAAACTGGGCTCAATGACATTCAGATACTAGACACACTGGTTTCAGCCATCTGTTGGTGAATTTTTTTCTACTATATGAAGTTTCAAGCTGTTCTAACCTTTTCCACTTCCACACATTGTGTGTGTGTGTGTGTGTGTGTGTGTGTGTGTGTGTGTGTGTGTGTAGAAGAAATGTTCAGGAAATGATTTTTGCTTCTCAAGAAAGAAGAACAAAACTGGGGATGTACTTGGGCTCCTATTTAAACTTCTTTTGTAGGAGATGATATGGTCTATGATTCCCAAGGTCTATTAATGAGCAATATCAAAATAACAAGTTACTTCTATCTCAAAACATAAAGTCACTTCACCCAGGAACTTTTAAATTTCATGCTTTATATGTTATTGCACATAGCTGTAAATATAGATTCATAAAGATCAAGGACCTGTAACCAAAAAGTACTGCAATCTAAAAGTCAAAATACTCCCACATCTGTAACTTCTCAGCCCTGATATGGCGCTGCAAATGGGAGACCCCACAACTAGTCTCATACAACAGGAAATATGAGAATGCAGACCCACTAAACATCTTCTATAATTAATTGCCTTTAGGCCAAGGATATAGGGCATACACGGAGCAAATGAATTTCATGCTCAAGTATCAATTCCATCTAAAGATGAATTATGTCAATGATAGCAGCTCCTATGGAGCCCTTCACCACACAGTTATAATTTTATATATTCTCTTAATCAACACAAGAACAATACGAGATCATTCTCTTATTTTCACCATTTTATGTATGATAAGATCAAAATGATCAATCTGTTAAAATCACAGTTTTGGGAACAATATTATGCCCTCCCTGTTTTCTGTTTTCTACTGTTTCCGTGTCGTTCTTATTTATTTATTTAAACATTTTACTGCCTGATTGCAGCCCCTTTCCTCCTCCTGTCCTAGTCCCACAATCGCATTTCTGTCTTCTCCAGCCCCTTCCCTTTCTCATTAGAGAAGGGGAAACCTCAATGGATATCAACCAACCCTGGCACATCAAGTCACAGCAAGACTAAGTGCATCCTTTCCTACTAAACCCAGAGAAGGAAACCTAGTTATGGGAAAGAGATCCAAAGGCAGACAGCCGAGTCAGAGACAGCCCCCACTCCAATTGTTAGCAGGCCCACAGGATGCTCAAGCTGCACATCTGCTACATATGTGTAAGGGGGCCTAGGTCAAGCCCATGCCTGCTCTTTGGTTGGTGGTTCAATCTCTGAGCACCCATGGGCCCAGGTTAATATACTCTGTGAGTCTTCTTGTGGTGTCCTTGACCCCTTCTACTCCCTCAATCCTTCCCCCCCACTCTTCTATAAGACTACCCTAGCTCTACCCTGACTGTGGGGCTCTTACCTGTTTCCACCAGCTGCTAGATGAAGCCTCTCAGAAGACTATGCTAGGCCCCTGTCTGTAAGCATGGCAAAGTATTATTGACAGTGTCAAGGATTCACTCTCTTCCATGGGGTGGGTCTCAAGTTGGGATAATCATTGGTTGGCCATTTTCTCAATCACTATATCTTTATCCCTACACTTCTTGTAGGCAGGACAAATTTTGGGTCAAAGGTTTTATGGGTGGGTTGGTGTCCCCTTCCCTCCACTACAAGTTCTGCCTGGCTACAGGGGTTGGCAACTTCAGGTTCCATATCTGCCTCTGCTAGAAGTCTCAGCTAGCATCATTTCCATAGAATCTCAGAACCCGCCCCCACCCGGCAGCCATACCCCACCCCTGCAGTCTCAGATATGCCTTCCCTGCCAATTTGTATTTGCTCTCAGTACTCTCTCCATTCCCACTCTTTTAACCAAAACCTATAAATAGATTTTCATTATGTGTCACTGTAAAAAGAGCACACATTTATGAACTCAGAATTCATCTTTAATTCCTTTAATATTTGAAATGTATTTAAATCTGTCTGATTTTTTTCTTCTCTACTTTTGTATTCTGTAGGTCAAAATTTAGTTAGTTGAATTTGCAATGAACTATGGATTTCGAATAATGATCTAAAATGCATAAATAGTTCAAATAAATAGAGATTCCTTAAATAAAATAAAAAACATGATATATGAGAGCAATGAATTTGAAGCAAAATGGCATGCATGCTTGTGTACTGGTTTATATTGAGTCTGGGTAGAAAAGAAGGGCGTCTGTTGGAATAGATGTAGAGAATGAAATCGAAATCATAAGCCATGTATGCATCCATCTAACTTTGTAGAATGAATTGTCACGATGGATTTCATCTTTATTCTTTCTAGGACACTCTAAGACTTTAATGTGGTAGACCCCAGATCATCTATGAATACCAATACTATAGTGTTGATCTCATAAGATGAATAAATAACACAAAATTTCCCTCTTTTTTTTCTGTTGCTTTTCTACAGGGTGTTTTGAGTGTTGTATTAAATGCCTGGGAGGTATTCCCTATGCTTCTCTGATTGCCACCATCCTGCTCTATGCAGGCGTGGCCCTGTTCTGTGGCTGTGGTCATGAAGCCCTTTCTGGAACCGTCAACATTCTGCAGACCTACTTTGAGATGGCAAGGACTGCTGGAGACACACTGGATGTTTTCACCATGTAAGTCATTCTTTATGTCCACTTTTTGTGGAATGCATATGTTGTTTACATTTCTGTTTTTTTTTTCCTAAAATCAGATATCTACCTAAGTAAGGTGATGAAGATTGAAAAAAAATAAGCTTCATGAGGCAAATATGATTCAGAAAAGCACAGATCTGTCAACCCAAGACAAAATACTTTGCATAGAATATGAGAGCAAATTAATAGATGTTTAATCAAGGCTTTGATATGAATTAAATTAACACTAAGCAGGAAAGTTTTGCTTTGCTCTTTAAACTTGAACATAGAGTCTTTAAAAAAAAATGGTGATGGAAGTCAGGATATCCCAGGGGTTTCTGGGAGTAAGTAGCCAGCGCTTCAAATAAATATTCCTCTGAGCTGTAATTGAAATAATAAAATCATGACATAATTGAAAAATGGTGAAAAGACAGAAGACAGAGGCAGGCACAAATTTAGGCTTGGAAATTCTAGGAAATAAGTGGGATTAGATACTTCAATTTTTTTATGTATAATTTTATTTTATTTTTTTAATTAATTACACTTTATTCACTTTGTATCCCCCATAAGCCCTCCCTCCCCCCCCCCCGGTCTCACCTTTCCTCCCCCTTCTTCACACATGGCCCTCCCCAAGTCCACTGATAGGGGAGGTCCTCCTCTCCTTCCTTAGCTTTTTGATCACCTCCCCCTGAGGGGGGAGCAGCCTTACCAGGCCGCAGAAGATGAAAATGCAGCCACTCCTGATGTGATCTAATAGACTAAGATACTTCAAATTTTTAATCCAGCTATGTATATGATATTTCCTTACTTTCTTTACTTAACAAAAAATATTATAAATATTGTTAAAGGTTCTCGTGGTCTTCTATATGATAAAAATTTGAGCAGTTTCTAAAATAACAATTATGTTTTTCAACGCCCTAAAATGTAAAGCACAAGGATTATAAAATTATGATGATGTTGAAATAATAATTTTTTGTAAACAAAACTTAAGCAGTCTGGAACTGAAAGAATTTTTCCTGTTTGCAGTCTTTTACTATTTAATATTATAGAAAGCAAGTATTTGGAATTTCCTTTCAGAACCATTAATTTTCAAATAAAGTATTAATTTTGTCATTTATTGGGTGATTTCATAATCATGGACCAAAATCATTTATTATTGCAAGTTTTTCCTTAAATGCAAACTATCTGTACCCAAAACAATTCATGTTTGTTAGTCTTGAAACTCCTGGCATTTATTTCATGCTTCTTGGTGTTATGTGTTTGAAATATCTCTATGGCTTTTTTCTTTCTAAAAAATTTGGTTGTTCTTACTGCATGTTAACATTTTCTGGGAATCAGATTATTTACACTTTCAAATCCTAGTGGTTATCAGGTTAGTTGTCGTACCATTGCTTTTTGCTCACATTGTAATAGGTAAAAGTAATCAGCTGCAATTCTGATTTATCCAAGTCAGTTCCAATAACCCTAGTATCAATATAAACTCTTCATTAGCAAACAACAACAACAACAACAACCTATCCTAAAGCTACAGTATCAAAAGAATACAGTATTAAGGCCCAGATGATATTGGTTTGTCTACATAGCAAGTTCCAGAGTTACATAGAAGACCCTGTCTCAAAAACAGTATATTGTTAAACTTCTTTATGCTTTATGAATATAAGCCAGAGTGTTTTCAACAATATTTTGGTAAGTTGTATCATTAGGGTAATTAAAGTTAATAATTCTCTGTGAAAATGAAGTGAATAGAATTTCACGTGGTCATATAATAGAACAACAATGCTCTACTCTGAGAGGTAAAGGAAGAAACAAAAGAAGGAACAACATTAATTTTAAGAAAGAGATAGTTAGCTCATATATTTACCTGAAATATTTGAAAATTTAAACACTGAAAAATTCAAATCAGCAAAAATGAAATATAATAAAGAAATCCTATAACACTTCCACAAACAGTGATTAGAAAAAGATGGAAATTGCGTTAAATCTGTAGATAAACAAGAAAGTGGGCACAGAGTAATATGATCAATCCTCACTTAGAAAGACAAATGGGATGTTCATTGGACATAGGAGAAAACAAGTGAAAGGACAGGAGCCTACCACAGAGGGCCTCTGAAATACTCTACCTAGCAGTGTATCAAAATAGATACTAAGACTCATAACCAAACCTTAGGCAGAGCGCAGGGAATCATATGAAAGAAGGGGGAGTTAGTATGACATGGAAAGGATAGGAGCTCCACAAGGACCAAATATATCTGGGCACAGGGGTCTTTTCTGAGACTGACATTCCACCAAGGACCATGTATGGATATAACCTAGAGCTGCTGCTTGGATGTAGCCCGTAGTAGCTCAGTAACCAGTTGGTTTCCCATAGTAAGGGGAACAGAGACTATTTCTGACAGGAGCTCAATGGCAGGCTCTTTGACCTCCCCACCCCCCAAGGGAGGAGCAGTCCTGCTAGGCCACAGAGGAGGACTTTGCAGCCAGTCCTGATGATACCTGATAAAACAGGGTCAGATGAAAGGGGAGGAGGTCCTCCCAATCAGTGGACTTGGAAAGGGGCAGGGAGGAGATGAGGCAGGATTGGGAGGGAATGAGGGAGCAGGATACAGCTGGGATACAGAGTCAATAAAATGTAACTGATAATAAAAATAAAAATAATAAAATTTAAAAAAGAAAAAGATGGATTGCTGAAGCAGTGAGATCAGCAAGACATGAGGTGAAGTTCCATGAGCTCAGGGGAATCTCAAGTTCAAATCCTACCTGTGTTACAAAGCAATTTGAATGCCAACCTGGGGAAATTAGTTGAGTCTTTGTAATTATTGAATTCACAAATAGAGTTGAGGATGCAGTTCAGTGGTAGAACAATTGTATATTCTCTACATATAAATATACATGTCAGTTTAGTTCTTCAAATCCAGATCATGTGTTGGCTCCAATCTTGTGATGAGTTTATCCAAGCGTAGGAATTATAATACTTATGTTGTATATATGTGAACCTCATCTATCATATATGAGGTCCAGTCCTTAGTAATAAAAAATAAGAAATTATTATCAAAAACTACAGTCTATAAATCTGAAGTATCAATGTCCCCGAAACTTGCAAATGAATACTTAGTAGCAAGTTAAAAGTTGTCTATTTCATTTCTATTTCATTATTTCACAAATCCTTTATAAATTAACATATTTATTTAATTGGATAATAAATCTATTCCTGTAATTTGTTAATTGTCATAGAGTTAAACATTAGCAAACACATAAAACCAAAACTTGAAAGCAATCAACATTATATTAAAATTGCTGGAATCATTCTTTGTTCATACTCATCATATAATGTAATTAAGCTATTTCAAAATCCAACTAGCTAGGAAAAGCGCAGTTGAATTCACCTTTAACACCAGCATTCAGGAAGCAAGGGGAGATTTATCTCTATCTATGAATTTCAGGAGAAACAGGGACATAGTGAGATCCTGTCTTGTGGTGATGGGTGAGGGGAAAAGAAAGAAAAAGGAGGAGGAAGAAAAGGAAGAGGAGGAGGAGGAAAGAAAGAAAGAAAAAAGAGAGAAAGAAAATTCAACTGAGTTATTGCTAGTTAGTTCAGGAGAGTTTTAGTAAGATAATTTCAAGGATATATTTTAATGTGATAAAACTGACATTTTTCTTTTTAGTCATATCTCAGCTTAGCCTGGACAAAATATGTTCTCACTGTTCTTTATTTTAAGCTACCACAGATGTCCTTGAAATCAGCAGTTCTTTATATTTAGTCTGCACTCATATTTCTTTATTCAGTTGTAGCAAATGAAGTTTATAAAGTCATAAGTCTAATAAGTGACAATATATTAATTATTGATTATAAAGTTATGTTTGACATTTAGACAACAAACTTTAAAATATCACAGATCTCTACTTGAGTTCTGAAGATGCTATCTGTGCGAACTTGGGAAAGGGAATTTAGAAGATACTTCAGATTATATATTTTTATAATTTTATATTTGATCTCTTATATGAGAAATTAAATATAAGACCGATAAATGTTCAAAAGATGATAATAGCATATTGTTTGGGGAAGTCCAAATTTTTTCCATAGTTCAAACTCCTTAAATTCACCATATAGGCCTCATGGAACTTCCAAATAGATTAAATCCATTTGGATTTAATAAACAAACAAGCCAGCACACCCAAAGAACCCAGAACACCTGCTAAAAAAGCATATGAAAATAGGAAAGGTTTATTCTATTAAACTTTCAAAATGATGAGTAGAAAGAAATAAATTCTTAAATTATGTAAAGATTTGGAGGTTGTGGAGATGACCCTCAGCGGGGCTGCCTACAGGGATGGAATGGCAGAGGGACTAGGAAAAGTAAAGGAGAAACAAAGGATGTAAAATAAATCAGAACTGTGTGGCCAAAGGGACAAATATTAGGCTTGTAGGTGATATGTCCACCTTTTCTTCCCCTCCCTTATTTATGTTTTTACACCCTAAATACATACAAGTATCTAAACATAATTCAGGTCTCTGACACTAAAGGGAAATCTATGAAAGGCATGTAACCGTGAAATGTAACCATTGCATTTTACTGGTCGTCTCCCTAGCATGAAATCTTACTTTTCGGAGAAAAGTGGGCAGTTAGTTTCCCTTCTTCTGCATTATATTTCAGATATGTAATGATGGATATGTATCATTGGCCATTCTACATCCTGACTTCTCAGTTAATGTTCCCTGCTCAGTAGTCCAGCCAATACGTCAAAGCCTTCAAAGAAGGAAGAGAATGAATTTCTAATACTTTTCTGGTCTGTTGGTAGTATTATTTAAATGAATTGAAAACTACCATTTTAGTTATTATGAAAACCAAATAGTCATGAAGAAAGTTAGAATATTTAAGAAAATAAAGAATGAATGGAAATAATGTCATGTGTCACTGACTTTTTTTTATTTTTCAGTTTATTCATTTTTATATCAGGATTGTAGCCCCCTCCTTCATCTCATTCTGGTCCCTCACTCCCTCCTT